CGGAGAATAGGTCGTGAAAGAGTGAAGTCACGAGATATACTTTACATCTTTATAACACAATATTGATTATCAAATTTATAGACAATAAATTGCAGTTCAAAAGTGCAACTGTTATTAAAGATCTGTATGATACCTGTACGTTATGAAATACGTACTTATAATAAGTAATGAGAACGGATCTGGATACGATTAGAAGAAGCTGTTCAACCAGTTTTGACTGAATACCGTATCACATCAATCGGGATTTGAATTCTATATACGTAGTCGTGTAGACTACGGGTCGACCTTCTTTCTTTTTTTTTTTCCAACTTCTCCTCCTCTTCTTCCTCTTCATCATCATCATCATCATCATCATCATCATCATCATCATCATCATCATCATCATCATCATTATCATTATCATTATCGTCATCATTATCAACTTTTTCTTATTTTTTTGGGGCAACTTTATACTTGAATGTATGGCCCAGTAGCTAAGTGTTTTCATGGAGGTTTTCTGTGACGAGAGATTTACCGTATATAGGCATGATGACGTCATCTATTACGAATAGGCCTACGTAGCACATCTACGTTTTCCTTATTCATGCCTAAAAAATTGAAAACTTCAAATGATCTGGTCTGACTCTAGGGCGGCCTGAGTGTTTAGCAAGTGGTAGGATTTTTATTTATTTATAATAGTTTCAAAGAATTTAATTTAGGTTCCGGTTAAATTATTAGCAAATATTTTATCGAACATACATGTTGGCCTTAGCTATGTTTTTATCGGTCTGTATCATAGTTGGTAAATGTGTTCAAAATATTAATATTTGATTTTATACATATAAATAATATGATAGATATTTTTCGTAAAAAAAATACAGATACAATATGCCAATTCAATAAACCGATATGAAAGAAGATGTGCTAAAAACCATTCTAAAGTTGATGACGCATAACGTGAAATCTTCCTATTGACAAATATAAACACAAATTTCGTTGAATGTCAGTAATCGTCTTTAATTTTACACTTCAGCAATGGAATTAAATAACATATATTTTAATCCTGTCGTTATAGGCCTAAATGATAAATGTAATTACTCAAAAATTTCGTTGAATTAGTATACCATGATTTTGAGAAGTGAAATGAATTTACCAAGATCGCCAAATCTCATAAATTATAATACATTTTCTTCTTATTATTATTATTTATTATCAGTTAGACTATAATAATCATAATAATAATTAGCTTATTAATATTATTATCAGAATCGTTGTCGACGTCCTCATCATCATTATTATTGTCAAGCAGGTCATTCAACCTCGAGAAAGGGTGCGATTCAAACACTTTGGTTTCCAAGTAATTAACCTATTATCAATATTATTATTATCACTACTATTACTATCGTTATTTTATTATTGTTATTATAGTTAATGTTTATTCTCATTTATTATTCATATTTGGTGATACATTTTCTTCATTACTATTTTCCTAGGGAATTTCATTTTTTTTTCACATTCACTGTAAATAGTATTACATTGGTTAGATAATGGCATCTTGTAATAACTTTGTATTTTATAATGGATAATTTATTTAATATGGATCCTGTTCTCTGGTATAACTAGGGCAGGGTTAAAACACTCATATCGAGGAAAACCAGACGCCTAACTATAGCGATCTTTGGGATTGATTCAACCACAGACCGGAAGAATGTAGATGTCTGTTGTTTTTGCTATGCTAGGGTATTTACATTCAAGGTATTGAGCTAAAATCGTTTTTTTTCTCTCTCTCTCTCTCTTTCGCTTTTAAAGAGAACAATTAGATCTACGCAGCACGACTGCATGACACTTTGTTCTTTAGAATCACAATGCATAGCATGATCCGTCGGATAAATGTCAGCGATTGTCTATGTAATTGAGGATATCAATTGAAATTTTTGGAGCAGATTTTCACGTCTTTCAATTTCCCCTATACCTCTGTAATGAAGCCAAATTTGATAGGTGGTCTAAACCGGACCCAATGAATTGGGTTTATCATGCCTCAAGTGTCCCTGTTGTCTTATCATCACAAGTCTTTAGGTAATCAGCGTACGAGGAGCTATCTATCGTTAATTTGCAAATGTTAGCCTTTTGTTAATGAATACACTGTGACTGATGTGGTCTTTTCATTTTTTCGCAAATTGAATATGCTTGTAGATCGAACGAATTCGTAACACTTGGTCATTCAACCGTACTGACTCTTGTATTTAGACAATACTAAAATTGTAATAGGAGTCCTAATTATAATATTTGAATGACAGTGATATTGATGATAACAAAAACGATATTTATAATTGTGATAATAATAATAATGATGATTATGAATTATAATACCAATAACAACGATAATGATGATATATGACGATAAAGATAATGATAATGATGATGATGATGATGATAATGATAATGATGATGATGATAATAGTAATAATGATAATCTTCCGCAAACTAAACATTTTGCTTAGCTAATTATAGTTTAGTCAGCTGGCCAATAGCATCACATTAGGTCTAAGGTGTGTTCAGACAGCTCATTAAACTGTGATTAAACCAGATCTCCCTGAAGTGGTTAGGACCCCTGACGGTAGGCCTACTTAGCATGCATTCGAACTTAGGCCTACCAGGTGCCCACTTATATACTTCTGTGGGTGGAGATGAGTAGAGACAACGTGTATCTTGCACAAAAGCTGACCAGAAACACGATCGATCCCCCGATTTTTCGAGTCAAAACCCAGTTATACACCCCAGTACGTGTCACATGTTTCAATTATAATCAATTAATTGGTTTCATTCATAATGTAAAATAATAACGAAAACTTTCTGTTGGTTAAATAGGCCAAATAGATACAAATATTGGCCATAGGCCTATATTTTGTCAGAACAAATGTTTTTATTTTAAAATTCATCAAGAGTAGGCAATTTGCCACTTACAGAATGGTATTCAGGCCCGTGAGAGGAAAGAGATCTAGCGCTCTAATTGAAGGATATTTTGTTGAAGGGAAGGGAGGTGGGTTGGGCTATTGGCGAATTACACTTTATTTTAAATATAAGAACACATTTTATAAGAACACTGAGGCTGGAATTGCTTAAAAATTAAGAACAAAATAAGAACAAATTAAGGCTGAGGTAAAATTCCAAATGAGATTTTTATTTTTAAAAACTAGAAAAACCAAAAAAACCTATATCTGTGCCTTATGGGCAGTGGTGTGTCTATGTAATACCCTCTATAATACAGTACAGTAGGTGTACGGTATACCTAACTGTCATTCGGGGCCACTTTTACCGGACCTTTTTACTAGGGGCATTTTTTAGGGGCCATTTTTTCCAGGGCCACTTTTACATTCCAGTACAGTGTATACTGGTACAATAATAATTTTGTATGTTTGAAAAGTGTAACATAAGAACATTTTGAGCCTGAAATCGGCCAAAATATAAGCCTGTTGGGATGGATGTTGGAAAGCATATTCGCTCCTAAATCGGTATTATTGTTTGTTATTTTGTATTTCTGAAAATATAGGCGTGATATGATATGGTCACAAGTCCCAACTAACGGAGCTTGATTTACCTGATTATTTCTCAGACATATTGCAAAAGCTGTTCGAATTACGGTACCGTACATTAACTAACTCATCAGTGTAGATCTTATTCGATTTAAATAATTGGCTTTGAATAGGATGTTAGAGCTTTTATGCATATTTAATTATGTTTACAAAAAACAATGACGACAATTATTTAAGTAATTATACAACCGTTTAAAACAATTCGTT